AATCCAGCTTGGAAGCTAAATCCCCTCCACACGGATATGCGTAAATACTTAGTTTTATCACAAATGACATTGGTGCTTAATATGGCAAACCTCATTCCGTGTCTCGACTGGCACTGGAGGTGCTGGTTTTGAGTATTCCGGTTTCTTGCTGTCCGATATAATCACTTTCGTCTGTGGTCCTCGATAAATTTCAGGCACTTTCCTGCAGTACTCATTAAAAGCTGCTTCCTGTTCAGCGCGACGATTGAGACGCCTGTTTTCATGCGAATTGATCTCTGATGTTGGTGGATTAAATTCGTTCGTAGCATCCTTGGATTTTGCATTTATTTCTTCCCAGTCCTGAAAAGAAAGAGAAAAGTCTCTCAGATTTACAAATTCAATCAAAATTTCTGCCATAATTTCGCTGAAACCGATCAAATGCACAATTCAGAGATAGTTCTTTGACAGACTTTGTGCACTTGGTTAATGACAAGCTCTCTCAAAATCGAAAGTCCAACTTCGACTATGAGATAATCCTAGTCACTCTGCGATTTGTTCATTCGTTTCCTTGACGAACTGGTACCGGCCCACGCCGGGGAGTCAAAAACACTGCTAGTTTGCTTTTGAGCAAACTTTGAAAAAAGAAGCCACCGACAGCTTTGCTAGCCTATAGCTGCTGTTGGCATGTACTACTTGCTACTCGAGCCATTTTTAGCTGTTTTTTCTTCTCAATGACACTGAATTACGGAGAAGTTTAAGTTTCTTTTAATATAAATTTTAAATGGATGAAATGATTGGCTGCTGTACTAAGCCACCAACGATGCAAGTCCGGCCATCATAAAATAAATAGCGGCGCGCACAAGGGCAGTCGGTGCGATCATGCGTTTTGCGCATTTCCGTCCAGCGGACGTATGATTACTGAATTTAAATTCTCTGGGTAGCATGTGAGCAGAGAACATACCCACAAAATTTCAGTTTCTCAGCTTTCATGATTCCCGAGATAATAATTCTCCCCGCCGAAATTTCACAGGGTCGTACGTGTTACCCGCGGATACGGGAAGGTCGAATTTAAATTTTCTAGGTCGCATACGAGCAGGGAACATACCCACAATACTTTAGCTCCTTAGTTCCCGTGGTTCCCGAGACAATGATTTTACCCACCAAACTTTTACGGGGCCACACATGTTACCCATGAGTACGGGAAGGCTGAAATTAAATTTGCGGGGTCACACGTCGGCGGGAAACACTTTACTAAAATTTCAGCCGCCCAGCTTTTGTGGTTTCCGAGTCGAAAGTGCGGGACAAAATGTGGGATATACACATACATACACAGATACACACACACAAACACATACACACACGAAGGGACAACCCTGTGACAATATGCGTTTTATGCTGTTGTTACGAAGCACAAAACGCATAAAAAAGAACTGCCAATTAGCAAGATTCATGCACGGTGGAATAATTCGTAAAACTCTGCTTCCGTCTGTAGCTAGTTTTTGCACTTTGCATTTTTTTTGGCCGAATCGATAGAAAAAACGCGATGTGATGAAACGGAAACTGATTAAACAAAATAAAATGACAACCAGCTGAGAAAGGTGCTCCATCGAGGTTGAGAAGAAGCGTTACAAAAGAAGTTACTACATATAAAATACACAATGAGCATCTCGAAACGACTAAAGTCCAGCTAGGTATTTCAGTTTCTGGTGAACTACTGGACCGGTAATCCTTTCAGGAGAAGAAACGTGTATAATCGGACTATGAATATGTATAAACGGACTAGTTCATGAAATCCGAATGCAGGTAAGCAAGTAAAAAAGGGAGTGAATGTGAATCACTTACGATTTGCTTCACTGACCCATTTGCAATCACAGCAAAAAGTCTGCACGGCCAGTCATTGTTGAGATCAAATGAAATTTGCACCTGCGCCTGAAATACCGCAATCAATATTTTTATTTTAAAAACAAGCAATGAAGCAATTTTTTAAGCAAAAAAAAATCAAAGAAACCTTTAAGAAGCCTTTTTTGATGCAACTGTTAACCAGCGCAATATCGGGCACCAATACGTCGCCCAAAATATCGCAAGCCATCACGAAACTGGTATTTCTGGTCGAATCGGCAAATTTCTTCTGTCCATGTGGAAGATGTATAATTGTATGGCACTGCAAAAAAAAAGTAACGAAATCGTGATTATAATAATGATAATTCCAAAAGTACAGGCAGAATTTTTAGAGGAAGTAGTTCCACGCTTTAAGAATAAAAATATCTCAACAACACTCAAAAACGCAGACAACTTCAGCACAGTGTGTCGCCTTATTACCAACAGTAGTAAAAAAAAGATACTTCACCTGATTTAAAAAAAAAAATAATGGCCAGGCTCCGACTGTCGGTTCGAAGGTGCGTTTTTTGCATAGTTTCCCGCAGAATTTTGTCACTAACGACAATGTTTTTTCCGGCAGACGCTTCCAGTTAAAAGAATTGAGACTGGATGTCAGAACTGCTAAGAAGCATCTTTTTAAAAAAACAGAGGCGGGTAAGAGCACCCATTTTGGCGATTGGGGTCCGTACGTGCATGTAGATTAAGTTCCCAAAGTTTCAGCCCTGTAGCTTTTAAAGGTCTTGAGTTGGAAAATCGGTGTAGACTCACACACAGACAGACACACATACAGCTACACACACAGACACACACAAAGAGACAACCCTTCGTCAATATGCGTTTTCTGCATTGCATAGATGCAAAAAACACATAATAAAGGGTAAATCAGGAGGTTGTTCAGAACTTTATTCTTCATTCACTCCTGAACTCAATCATACAGAAGATTGGGGAAAGAAGGAATTCAAGAATAACTAACAATGATGGATTTTCCATGTGGCTCAGAAGCTAACGGCGTTTTTTCATACTTGTCACAATAGAGCGCCATGTATTTTACACCCACTTCTGTGTCGAATGGAATACAGTAGTACTTAACCCAATCGGCTGCAGCAAGCTGAAAATTACAACATAATTATTATCATTATTATTACTATTATTATTATTATTACTATTATTATTATTACTATTATTATTATTACTATTATTATTTCTATTGCTATTATTATTATTATTATTATTATTATTGTTATTGTTATTATTATTATTGTTACTACTAGTGCTGTTATTATATCTGGGAATATCATTATAATCATCATCACCTTATAAGCAAAATAAATTCATTTCAGCAAAAGAACTCCTACTGGTTACTTGAGTAATCCTTTCACTTTGCTCAAACAAAATATCATACAAAAATAAAAAACATTCATCAGAAACAAAAAACAATCTTCACTACTTCAAATTAGGCTTATTTTTTAGCCATTTTCCTTTCTTTTATTCCCGATTCGAAAAACTGCTTAATCGTAGTTTAGGAGTGACAATATTAAGATCGAGGTGATGAAGCCCAAAGAAATCTGAACGGCTCA